CACCTTCCCCTCTCCCTCTTCCTTCCTCTGCCGCCGCCGGCGACACCTTGCTCGCGAGGGGTATACGCGGGGAGAGAAAGATGGGGAACGTGTTCGTGAAGAAGCCTAAGATCACGGAGGTCGACAAGGCCATCCTCGCCCTCAAGACGCAGCGCCGCAAGCTCGCGCAGTTCCAGCAGCAGGTCCCCTGCTCCCGCCCTGCCCGATCCGATCATCTGTTTCCCACCCCCGTCCTACTATACCATCTAATTGTTCTAGTTTGTAATCGTGATCATTGAGATTCGATTCTGGTAGTTTATCGATCTCCAATTTTGCCCCCGGGACTAGATAATACCAGGTTTGGTGCCAATACCGCTCATTACGCGAGTGCGGCCGCAGTTGGGATTAGGTTTTTGCATAACGTTGTGTCTATAACTGAATGGGTACGAGCTTTTTCCACCTTGTTAGTTTTGTCAGGAGGGCCCAGTTCTGGTGTGGTTTGTTGTTTGCCATTTTGGGTTGACAGTAGTGATCCAGATTTAGAATGTCTGGCAGTGTCATCAGGACAAGAGTATAGGTTTTGGGTCGGATTATAATGCAGTATTAAGGTGAATGTAAGCGAGAACTGCACATTCATGTTATCAAATGAGGATATTACTTTCCAGAGCATATTGCGGAAACCAGACTGGCTTGTAGTGCATGCTTTGGTGTGCTGCCGTTATCTTGATCTATCAGCGCTAGCGGTATGGGAGTCGTTTGCTGGTGCAAACCAGCAAACTATCTGATTTCTGTACTAGCATGTTGTGCGAAGAAATTATTTCGCCATCGGGTTTCAATACCTTTAGGTGGGTATAACTTGTCGTGTTGTGATGAACTGTTCAAATATTCTAACTGAACTAATGAGCGTGTCTTGCATTAAATCACTGGAATGATGTTTCTACTTACAATTAAGATGGTAATGGTTCTGTTTATGTATGTTTTACTTTTCTTTCTCCCAGCTTGAGAAGGTGATCGAAGCAGAAAAGGAAGCTGCACGCCAGTTGGTTCAGCAAAAGAAGAGAGACAGAGCTTTGATTGCACTGAAGAAGAAGAAATCCCAGGAAGAGCTCCTGAAACAAGTTGATACATGGCAAATGAATGTCGAACAGCAGGTTAGTAGTTTACTCGATAAATTCTGGCTCCTAATGAATTGCATGTTCATGTATAGAGCAGAAGGTCTGTATTTCTGCTTTACATAAGTGAATCTGACCAGCATTAAGTCTCTTTAGTTTTGATCGATAATTTGACAGTCTGTTTTCTGTTTTCTTGTTGAAGCTGGCAGATATTGAACTAGCAAGCAAGCAAAAAGCTGTATTGGAAAGCCTAAAGACTGGAAATGCTGCCCTTAAGTCTATACAGAGTGAGATTAACATCGACGATGTCCAAAAGTTAATGGATGACACAGCTGAGGCCAAGGCTTATCAGGATGTAAGTTCAATAAACTTTTCCAGTCCACTGGTTACTACATTTATAATGCTTTTATCCATGTGAGGTTCTTCCATCTTATTTGAAGTCATTGTATATATTTTTCTTACAACATCCTTAGTTGACGCTTAATACGTAAAGTGGCACCTCGGATCTCTGTAAAAGCTCTTTTCATGTACTTGTGTGGAACTAGTTAAACCATGTACATCATTTGGTCTATGTGATAGTTGCCTGAAAATCCTGATTTCGTTCTTACACCATGTAAATATATATAATTAGCTCTGTGGTCTGCAACTTAAACATGAACAGTTCTACATAGTATAATGCTTCTGAAATTGTGACTTATACAAGTAGCTAATACAAGAATCAATTTATCATCTGTTATATTGTATTATTGATGTCTTTGTACTTATTAATCAATGCCCGTATTTTTTTTTATCTGATTTTGATGAGCTCCCTTCTATTTCTATTATCGGAGTTATTTATATTTGAATCCAGTTTTCATCAGTTCCTTCTCGTGATCTTACCATCTGTTGCAGTATATGCCCCCAACGCCAATGCCTGTAACCTTTTTTGCCTTGCTTATCAACTGATATTGATTGCAGGAAATAAATGCCGCTCTGGGTGAACAACTATCTGCTGAGGATGAGGAGGCTGTCATGGCTGAATTTGACAACTTGGAAGCTGAGGTTTTTCCCCAAAAGCTTCAAGAGTTCTCAACCTTTTGTTTTAAGAAAAATACCTACATAATAAACTCCGAGTTCTGAGCTTAAATGAAGATTTGTTTCTCTGCTAAATTGTTATTGTCGTCTGTTCTTTTCAGCTTGCACTTGAGTCTCTGCCCGATGCTCCCGTTACTGAAGTACAATCTGAAAAGAAAACCAAAGCACCGGCTTACACTGAAGCTCCAGCTGAAGACATTGATGATGTTATTAAGCTTCCTGATGTACCTACTAAAGCGCCAGAGAGGTCTGAAGCTCCAGAAAAAACAAAAGGTTTTGATCTCATGTTCCTTTATTTTTGGAGTTTAGCCTGTTTCATTTGCATCTTATACTTTTTATGGTGTACTGATGATGTGTTCTGAATTGACAGTCTTGGAAGAGCCACTACCTGCATAGTTGGTGGAGCTGAGCTGAACAGGGCACTCCAAGTCCTGCGGTTTGCAGGAGCTGTAAAATATCTGCCATTTGATTGTACTACTTAATTTTGTCATTTCATAAGTTTCATTGTGTACAGAATCTGAAATGTTGGTCTCGGTTATCAATTGATGCAGTGACGACCTGTGCCTGTTGTACATTTAGTAGTCTCAGCATCGATTATGGTATCAGATGTCCTGTTATTTCTTGATTGTCGTTTGTATATTGATTTGGGCTTGCAGCATGCTACAAGCATATCCCTGTTGTCTCCTCTGGACAGCTAAAATTAAATTGTGTTAACTGTTAACTGGGATTCTGTTTCATTGGTTGGATCTTTATCACGACTTGGCTACTTTGCACTCAGGTACGTAAACAGTTACATTTCATGCTCATCATTTCTGATTTGACACCTGCTCTTCCAGATTTCTGCCGCTACACATAGCAAGTTTGGTGCAGATACATTTATGTAGTTGCTGGGCTCAGTATGTTGCCGCTGCTGGCCAAGTCTGTTCTGTAGCTGCTGCTGCTACTGGTGATCTTTGCTGTTAAAATGGTCTGTTGAGATTGACGCTGAAAAACGGTTGCATTCCTATTTTAACCATTTTAACAGCATGTCAATAACAAGTACTGTGTTCCTAGAAATGGCAAATTGAACAAAAAATGATGGTATGCCAGAGTTTATATAAGGAATGCTCAAGTACCGTGTTGAGTAACCGATTATTTTGTAGAATGGATGTGGCACTGAAAGGTTTTCAGCATGCTATTTTAACCATTTTAACAGCATGTCAGTACAAGTTATAGAAAACAACATTGACAATTATATTGGACGCCGATAAGTGCCACACGTGTGGGTGTTAGGGAGTCTGCCCACACATTTTGTGTGATGTATAAGAGGAACAGCCCACACACCTACGTGTGGGCAAAACAAGTAATGTCCACACATCTCTTTTTCTTCTCCCGATCCCTCTCACACGCGTGCGTGTGGACGAAATAGATAACGCCCACACGCCCGTACGTCAGGCCTCGTACCTCGTGGTCCCGCACGCCCCGTGTGACAGTCACCGCGCTTCCCGCAGTTGCCATGGCCCAGACCCTCGTCCATGTTCATTTAATTGTAGTTATCATGTCGCTGAATTTCGGTTGCCATGTCGGACAACTACAGTTGTCATGGTTGCTCAAATGCAGTTGCCATATATGGTCTGGTCTACTGCAGTTATCATGATTTCAAAACTTTAGGAGTTGCCACCCACTAACACTAGGCAGTTGCCGTGTAGCACTATAAAAAGACATGGCAAAAGAACATGTTCGGGTAAAAGAGAGAGTTGCCGTGTGCTCACAAGCACGCTAGGGCAGTTGCCATGTAAAGAGAAAGAGTTGTCATCTGCTTACGTGCACGCTAGGGCAGTTGCCATGTACCATGCAAAAACACATGGCAACTCGGGTAAAAAGAGAGTTGCCATCTGCTTAGAAGCAAAGCTATGACAGTTGTCATGTACCCTGCAGAAACACATGACAACTGCCAGCTTTGGGTGTGGGCAAGGAGATGGGCGTGTGGGCGAAGTGATAAACGCCGACAGGCCAGCCCCCTCTGCGTGCATGAAAACTGGTGTGTGGCGAATTGTTAAACGCCTACACACCAGCCCTCCGTGTGGTGAAAAAGGATGTGTGGGCGACCGGATGAATGCCCACACACCAGTTTAGTCTTACATGGCACACAAAAACTGTTAGAACACGCTAAGATTCGTGCAGAATTGGTTGGACGAGAATCCATATGTGTGGACAAGTTGTCAGACACCCACACGTGTGGGAGTTAGTGTTTTCGATTATATTTTATTAGCTGTTAAGCGATTAAACTTCTATGAAGCTGCACACGTTTTTGAAATTCAATTCTACGTATGTCTAGGTCCATGCCTGCACAATGGACTGGATCACATTTATCTGGTCAATCAAATAATCTTGTACTCAAATTATCTTGAGACCCAAATTTAAGTTGGATTGTGTCTCCTAACAATATTTGTTCTTGTCATCCCCTTCATCCCAAAATAAGTGTGTCAATTTTTATACCAACTTAAAGTTGATACAAAGTTGGTACAAAATTGACATACTTATTTTGAGACAGAGGAAGTATGTTATTACTTTGAACATGCTGTAGATAACCAGTGAGGATTGTTTGTATGGATGAGTATTCTTCATTATCTATTGAGTGTAAATGCTTTCTTCATAGTTTTTTTTTAAACTCATAGTACCTAAACACCTAGTGACTTGAATTCATCTTGATTATTGTCCACCAAATTGAGGGGTGATGGGCTCATCTTTTTATGTTGATGGAAACATTTTTCATGTAGCAACCGTAAACCACCCTTGATCAGATTCAAATATATTTGTTCTTGTAATCTTAACTCTCAACATTTCCTACACAATGACAAAAGGGGTCCTCAAGTCACCCAAATCTTTCCCCACCCCAACCAGTGTGGCCTCTCCTTGGCGGTTTCCAGCTCTTCCCATCGGTGTCTCATCCATCTTGTCGCTTCCTTCCAGCTCCTCCACTATGCCCTCTCCCTCCCTAGTCCCTAGTGACCAAGGACCCCACCCACTCATTGAGCAGGTTGTTGAGGTGGACGCCGAGATCGAGCTGGAGCTCAACGCGGGGAAACAGTTTGTGAGCTTCGTTGGTCATTCAGGTAGTATTTGGACGAGCACCTGCACGGCTGGAGCCGATCCCCATGTACACACTCTTGCATCGATGCGTGCCACAGCTTTAGTTAATTGTTACTCCACCTACGACGAGCTCCACGTATATGTTTGTGAACGAACCCATCGGAAAGTTATGCCCTTGGCATTTGGAACGAGATGCAAACATGACAAGGGTCGCACCCAGTACGCTACGTTTGCAGTTTTTTTTTGAACGTTTGCAGTTGCTGTCTCCATCCACGCACAAATGAAGTTTGTGTAGCCTTGGCATTTGGAACCACCATCTGGAGGCGCAATAAAAGCCGCGCACACCAAGCCCCTTGACCCGCCGATGAATTCTGGTTGCCAGCCCTACTTTCACCTGTTTTCACCGTGCAGTGCACCCCATCCATCCACCGCGCCGACTCCCTTCCCTTCTTGGCTAGCTCCCAATAAATTGGGCCGTCGCCGTCTCGCCCTGCACCGGCCTCTCTGTCCGTCCATGGTAGTAGCTTCCGAACCGTGTTTTCCCTGCAGCTCAGCTCTGTGGCCTCGAGCGTAGCCACGCAGCAGACGGCCCTGCTATTTTTGTTTGTGGGGGACCTTTCTATTCTGCAAGTGCAGTGGTTTATGCGGGCGCCTCTTGTTGTGTAGCATACATACGGATGGATTTTCAGGCTTCCAGCACGTACGTACGTACAGTACGTACGTAGTACACCGTTTACCCGTAAAGCTGTGCAACAGATTGATGGCCCGAACCTCTTGAGCTTGTAGATAGATAGATGGACGCCAAAGTTTATGTATCCATCAGGCCATCAAGTTATACAGAGTATGAATGCCTGTTCAGTTCTGTATACCCCCATCAAGTTATACAGGACGACAAAGCACTATGCCTCGATGAGGTCTGCTACCAACGCAAGAAGTAAGATTGCTGGAAGCAGCCAGGCAGCGCCCCCTCCCTGCATTTCCTCCGGGCCTCACCGCAGAAAAGCCCTGCTCCTTTCACCGATTCTCTTGATAACCCCATGTGGATGTGGAAACTCACGACGTTGCACTTGCACGGCCAGCATGTGGCGTGCATGTACGGACGATACAATCGCTTCACACTCCTTTTCTTTTCCTTTTTGCATACGAGGATCATCCCCACTGCAGCACTGCTCACAGCACACCACGCCGGAGGTGTTTGTCGAGCGAGGAGTCCACGCTTCTCTTTCCTCCTCTCTCTTTACATGCACACATGGAGCGGCGGGGCGGATCCTTTCGGCGCTGCTGGATGCTCACCGGGCTACCTGTGGCAAAACACGCCGAATCGGTGGCAGGATTGCGTCCGATCTCCGTGTCAGCTGTCTCCACGCGCCAGAGGCGTCGGATCGGTGCCGAGGATGCCACGCCCACGCGCGCTGGCGGTTTCCGCGGACCCAGCTCGCTCAACGGACGAGTGATGGAAGAAACCAACAAACAAAGTTGTTGGTCGTCCACCATGGAGCCAAGATATATATATACAGTACGTGAGATGGCCAGCTCGCTGCTCGCGCACATATATATCCCAACAACAACGGGGAAAAAGGGGAGTGCATCGATCGGTGCGTGCCTGCAAAACATTTTTTTCACTGGGAAGTGAAATTTGTTTGGGTGTAAACCTCATATAAAGGGTACGTCAGTCACCTTGTAAGACAATAAGTTTTGGGGAACCAGCACACCCCTCTAGGGGTGGCTTATCTCATTATATATAATGATTGTGTTACAATATGTACCATATACGTACATAGGTACAGAAGCTGTACATAGTCTAACACCCTCCCTCAATCTTAGCCACTTTCTAAAGAACTGAGAAGGGTAAGATTGCGCCTACAAGCCTCAAACTGTGGCAGCGGTAAAGACTTAGTGAAGATGTTTGCAAGTTGATCCTTAGATGAGATAAACTTGATCTGGAGTTGCTTCTGTGATACACGTTCCCGTACAAAGTGATAGTCAACTTCAATGTGTTTCATTCGGGCATGAAATACTGGATTTGCAGAAAGGTATGTAGCACCGATGTTATCACACCAAAGAATAGGAGGCTGTGGTTGAGACAAACCCAACTCCTGAAGCAAAGACTGCACCCAAATAATCTCTGCAGTAGCATTAGCCACAGCCTTGTACTCAGCTTCAGTACTGCTACGTGACACAGTAGCCTGTTTCCGAGCACTCCAGGCGATCAAATTAGAGCCAAAGAATACTGCATAACCCCCCGTGGATCACCTGTCGTCTGGGCTACCAGCCCAATCTGCATCAGAGAAGGCCGAAAGGACCCGAGAGGAAGTCGGCCGAAT